CTGCTCTCAAATGTTAGTCTGGAGCCCTGTATGTGTGATATATTTTTCTCATTGTAAACATAACATAGAATATATAGGAAATTTATTTATTTTATTGGGAAAATATTATATTCATAAATGTAAATTTTCTTCAACATTCCCAAAATTACATAATTTTCTTTGTGACTTTAACTACCTAATTATAACACAAAAAATATTAATAACAAAAAAAGTGTCTAATTTGTGAAACTGTATAATGATCTGCTGAATGTTACATAATTTTGATTTACTACCTCTGTATTTTTTTGTTTTATCTATTCTTTTTTTTTTGTCTTCCAATTAGGGATGTAACGGTATGAAAATTTCTTATCACGATTATAGTGACCAAAAAGATCACGGTTATCAGTATTATCACGGTATTGTTAAAATGTGCTGGTAAAAGTTTTACATTTAAAATCAACAAACAACAAATTTGCTTGCATGTTTCAGTTTCGTTTGCCGTTTGATGTTTCTCACATGCAACAGAAATGCAGTGCTGATGAGTTAAACAATGCAGTGGTCGCGTCAGTGCGACCGCACACAAAATGTAGTCGCACCGGCAGAAAAAATTATCGCAAAATGTGCCCATTTGGTCGCACACTGGAGCCCTGTGCAGTACAGTATTTATTTATCCTTAGTTGTTCAAATAGCGGAAATCGAATGCGGTTATAGTGATAATTAAAATATGAAACAGTAATACTAACCGTGGGGTATTTTATCACAATTTATCGTCAAACCGGTAATCGTTACATCCCTACTTCCAATATTATTTCTGTATTCATAATGTCATCCAATGTTGTATTAATTGTTGAAGTTAAGTGTTTATACTTGCAATAAAAAAAAAAGGTAAAAATAAGTCCTGCCTACGGAAATTCGAATGGTTGGGAGGGGCGAGGTCGTGGTTAGAACGCTTGGTTGAGTGCATCAGACAAGACGATGACGAAGTGCTGCTGTAGCATCAAGTTTTCACAAGTTATTACACATGCACCTGAATAATTTTGTATGTAAATATGTATGTTACAATTGTACAGAACAATACTGGACAATGATGTAATCTGCAGAATTTACACTTCAATTATGAGACT